ACCTTAGAAATTGTACAAATTATATAGTCACGATAAATCATAATAATTCATTATAAAAAAATATATGATTAAGATTTTTATGTAAAAATTATATGTAAATAGATTTTTTAATTCATATAATCCTTCAGTTCCAAATCTTGAAAAATAAAAAATTATGCTATCCACCTATGAAGGATGAGGGATGATAGTAGCAGTTAGTAATCACTAAAATTAATAGCAAGATAATTCTTAATTGATTATGTATCTATGGAGGATGGATAGCTTGCTTTGGAATTTGCTAAATATAAACGTTATTTCATTGAATTATTTTCTTAATATGAGATTTATTTCTCCCCTCTTTTTACCTCAGTGACTTAGCCTTTAAAGGTTCAACACAAGGTAATATATACACATCCATGCTCAATCTTTTCACTTGCTTTTAGTTTTTGAATATATGTATATGCATAGAGTAACATACATATACATATAAGCATGATCTTGATAATTAAATCAACTACAAATAATTAAGGAGAGCGAGCAGAAGCAGGAGGGTTTGGTTCACTGGAAATCAGAGACTTTAACATATGAACACTCACTGAGATGCAGTTTTCAACTACAAATTATTTTGTAGCATGAGATTGGCAAGGAAGATTGATCAATGGATGTTGAAACAAAGTCGAGGAAGGGGGTGGGAACTGGGAATTGCATCTCTGAAAGTTCCTCAATACGAGCTTTATCTTCTTCTTTCTTCTTCTTCTTCCTCCTTTTATTTGCTTATAAGAATACGTCCTTCATTCATCTTTGGTTATGAGATATAGCATCCCTCAATGGATGTTCTCTCCAAAAAGGTGCATGGAAAGTATCTGAAAAATGCTGGTAGGATAAAGATGCCATTGGAGCACTCATTTCATTTTAGAGTAAAACTCAAACTTAAAACCTATAAAATAAGACTTATTTTAATCACTCAACTAGAATGAATTTTAAAAGTTACATTTTGTTAAAAGTTTTGAAAACTGTATATATATATATTA